CTCTCTCTATCTTTGTATTATGTATTTTAATACTGCAACTATGTTGCTTCATTATATGTAAAATGACAAAGCATAGACATTGTCAAACACTCGCTGACTAAATTCATTTCAGTTACTTCAATCATATCAAACAACCTCCACCTTGGGCCAAAAGCATGGATCAGTATTCTTTCTTGCTTGACTCATGCCATTTCTGAAGAATGTGAGTGCAGGTTCTCAAAGTTACTACAACATTTTCTTCTTTCTTTCCTAGCCAAACCATATGGGTTTCCAATTTCCACACGCCCACAGGAGTTCAACAAAATAAACATCTTTACTCGTATTAGAAATTTAGGAAAACTCATAAATTAGAAATGGAACACAAGATCATCAAAACTGGCAGACCTAGATATGAAGCATGTATTAGAATAACTCATAAATTACAGTACAAAAGCACTTACACAAATGGGAAATGTGAAAGTCAAGAAGGCAGAATTCCCTCATATAAAACACACAATCACAACCTTTTGCACAAACACAAAACCAGTAGAAAGGAAACAAGCCATTGTAGTAAAACCAGAGTTAGGATGATCCGTGTACAATAACTCAAAGCTTGAATGCTATTCTTATGGGACTCGAGGCATAGGAATACATCATATATTTATGTACCAAAATGCCAACATTTCCAGAAATGTCTTCCCCCTGTTTGAGTTTCACACAGTATCGTGTGATATAGGGTCGGAGGTTTCTGATTTTTAGAAGGATTCCTAGACGAAGTTGTGTATCGTGGTGTCAAATTCCAAATAAGCTCTCTCAAAAATGGACCATTAATATCAAGTTTTGTTAGAGAACTGATGGTATGAAAGCCTTCAAATGAGAAGGGATGTAACAGGGATTCAGAAAAAAAAAAGGATAACAGAACCTCGAAGACAGGTTTCAACTTTAATGGTACATAATTAGGACACTTGCCTAGATACAGTTGAAGGGGCTAAAACTGGGTGAGCATTCGGTTTGAACCGAAATTTTAAAAACCGAATTAAAAGAAATAAAACTGAAACCGAAATCGAAATTTTTTATTCAGTTTTCGGTTATTTTGGTTAAAACCGAAATATAATATATATACATATATATAGTATATATACTCTATTATATATATTATAGCATATAATCTATATTATATATTATGAAATCAAATTTTATTTTATTATATATTATATCTTACATATTACATATTACATATTATATATTATATATAATAATAGAAAGTTCAGTTAATTCGGCTAACTGAATTTCTAATTCTAAAAACCAAAACTGAATTAACTGAATCAATTTAATCAAAAAATAAAAATAAACGAGCCAAAAAAATCAAAACCGAAATTTTTGGTTCGGTTTTTTGGTTTTAACCAAATAGTGCTCACCCCTAGCTAAAAGAGCTAGGGAAATATCAAAAAAAACTTGGTGGAAGTAATAAGAAATGATTTGAGCACTCATAATTTAACAATTCATACTTTAACCATGGATATGACACTAAATAGAATGGAATGACAAATAGGATTCATGTAGCCAACCCCAAATAGTTGGGGCAAGGCTTAGATAATGATAAATTAGGAAACTTGCCCAAATCAATTCAACCTTTTGGATAAATGGGTTAATAATTGATGTCATAATTATAAGAAAAATTAAAGACAAGATAAGAACACAAAAACTATAAAAGATACACAAGTTTTATTAAAAACATTTTGGTACATTTCTAGTATTTTATATAAATCATACTAAAGAAAAATAAGTAACTCCACTAGTGTGAGCTTGTCTTATATTGCGAGTCCCAAGTGTAGGCAAAGGAGGAGGGTGCATTAGGTTGGTAGCTAGCAGTACTAAAACTTTTGCCAAACTCTCGTAGTTAAAATGAATGAATAGAAAACTAGAAATGATAGAATTAGAAATGAAGTTATCCATATGAACATAGAAATAGCTCCAATACATGATAAAATGAGAGAGAGAGAGAGAGAGAGAGAGAGAGTAGACTAAGATGATTTGGGCACATGCATAGAAGACCACCAACCGCACTAGTTTGAAGGGGTTAAAAGAGCTCAATGTAAAATAAAAAGGACATGGGCAGAAGTAGTGAGAAATGATTTAAACACTAATAATTTAGATGTAGATATGACTTTAAATAAATGGATTGGCAAAACAGGATTCATGTAACCAACCCCATGTAGTTAGGGTAAGGCATGGATGATGATAATGATGATATTAAAAAAATATAAGTATGATAAATATAAAAGAATTGTTTTTATTGATGATGGGAATAAAATCAACCAAAAAATGAAATTATTTTTCTATTTGGTGGAAGGTGAACAGTTTGACCTTTTTGAGTCAAATGCATCAACCATTGATGTTATAATTAAATAATTAAAAATAAAAAAGTGTTGAAAAACATATATTATTACTATTATCATCATTACCATCATCTAAAATTGCCACATACAACATACAAGGCACATTCACATTTGTTAGTTACTTATAAAAATGGTTTTTGTTAGCCATTTGTATTATTTTCTCATTTTTTTCTCATGTATTAAAAGAGTCCATTTTTCTCAATTTTTTTCTTATAAAAATAGTTACTTATTTTTCTATTTTTTTTCTTACAATATTAAAAGGGCCCATTTATATTACTAATTATTAAAAAAATTAGCCCAAAAGGTTGAGTTGGGTTGGGTGAAGGCCTTAACCAACCTTCCTAACCTTAAGGGTGTCAATCGACTAGTTTTGGATTCGATCCAATCCCATCCAAACCTTATCAAATTGGATTTGGATGGTCCATTAACCTACCTAACCTTATGGATGTCAATCGACTGGTTTTGGATTCGATCGAACCTGATCCAAACCTTATCAAACCGGATTTGGAAGGTCCATTATTATTATTGGGTTGGGCCAATCCAAAATAAATTGGTCCATATTCTTATTGGTCCGAATTGAACCTAAACCAAATTTCCAATAATCCAATCATGATGTCAAACCCATGTCCAATTTGAAACCAATCAAAACTGAAGCCGGCATAAAATCACTTTTATGAAAGTACTTTTATGAAAACATATTTTATGAAAACACTTTTACAAAAGCATTTTTATAAAAGTAATTTTATGAAAAGTACCTTTATGAAAGCACTTTTACAAAAACACTTTTACGAAAGCACTTTTACAAAAGTACTTTTATGAAAACACTTTTACAGAAGCATTTTTATGAAAGTACTTTTACACAAGCACTTTTATGAAATCACTTTTACAAAAGAACTCATACGGAAGTACTTTTATAAAAGCACTTTTATGAAAGCACTTTTATAGTACTTTTATAAAAGCACTTTTACAAAAGTACTTTTATAAAAGCACATCTACGAAAGTACTTTTATGAAAGAATTTTTACAAAAGCACTTACACGAAAGTACTTTTACACAAGCACTTCTATAGATGTACTTTTATAAAAGTACTTTTACAAAAGCATTTCTATGGAAGTACTTTTATGAAAGTACTTTTATCAAAGCACTTTTACAAAAGTGCTTTTCAATGCCAAAAGGGTATATTTCTGTAATTTTCAATTTTTCTTTATTTTAATATATTTTTTGTATTTTTATATGTTCTGTTTTTTAATATAATTTTTGATATTTCATTTGGTTTGAATTGGATCCAATCCAGTCCATTTACATTTTAACGAATTGGATTGGATTTGGACTGCATTGGGTCCAATCCATTTGTAAGTGGACTTACATTGGACGGGATCGGGTTGGACCAAATCTAGTCCAATTGACACCTCTACCTAACTTAAACCCAACAATTCTTTTATTTGTATGTAATTTTTTTGAGAAATCTTATTTGTATGTATAAATATTATAAATATCTATGTACACATGATTCTAATTATGCATCCTAAATAAACGTATGTTTATATATATATATTTATATTACTAATAAAAGAGTGAATAGCCCCATTTTCTAGACTTTTCATTAAACATTTTTACCACTTATCTAAGCAACATACAACGGGCATAAAAAGGGCATATATGTCCTTTATTCTCACTTCAAAAACTGCCCACTTATAACAAATAAGAAACTCCCCATTTATAATTGTCCACTTATAGCAGTTAAGAAACAGTCCACTTATAACTGTTCAAAAACTGTCCATGAATTATAAATAGTTTTGTCTTGGAGATACTGTCACGTGCAAATGCACGTACATATTTACTAGTATATATATATATATGTGGGTGTGTGTATGTGTGTGTCAACAATTTTAAGTCTGAAAGAAAGAATCTTACCTTTGTCCATGTACATATAATAGTGCTAAAATCAGTGACCCTTTTTTATGAGAAAATGTGGATCTTAATCTTCCAAACTTAAATAAAAAATTTTAACAAAATGAAATGAAGAAACCGGGCCAAATGGAGCCCAATGCAACCCGAAAAAGTCAGGTTGGGGGTTCACCTCGACCCAAACTAACCCGTCCTGACTTGCACCCGTAACACATTGCCTACCATAACGAGTGAACATTTCTAGTCCAGTTTTACCCAGCCCAGAAATTTTTGAGTTTGGGCCTTGGTTTTGTGTCCAGGCCCGTGCCACCATTAGGCTTGGAAATTTTCGGCTAGGTCTGGGCCTAATGCTTTAAGTTCAACTCAGGCCTGTATTACATTTTGCATATTATAAATATTACATATACGGTTATATAATATATTATATTTTTAGTACGACACATATAACACATAATATATAATATTAATGCTGATACTATATACAATATTTATACATAATTGTATAATGAAAAGATTATATATAATAAATTTAATATTTTGTAATATAGTCATGAGACCGGACCGGGCCCAGCCCAGCCCATGGCATCTCTACCAATGGGCTTGATCTGCGTTAGCCCAGGGCAGGTATGTGGCCCATGACTTGGCCCAAAAGTAGGGTCAAAATCAAATTGAGCCTCGGATCTGTGACTTTTTTTTATTGGATGAATACCTCGAATCTATGACCTACCCGTTACTTATGGCGCTGGACTTTGATTCCCCGCGTTTAGTCTGTTTCAGACGTTCGGTTCAGATCGAAATCAAATCCCACTCATTCCTTTCATTTGCTTACTGAAGCCAATAGCAAACGAAAAGGTGATCTGAAAGACATCAATCCATCTTTCCCTTACTTTGTTCTTCTTTGATCGATCGATCGAGCAGTTGACCAGAGAGAAAAGATCGGTAGGGAGATGGGTGTTCTATAGTTATCTTGTTACGTAGGATGTTCTTCTAATGAGGAGTGATGATACGCTTTGAGAAGAAAGCCATAACATGCTTTCTTTGCGTTCAGTTCGCAGATTCTGCTCTGCTACCGGTGCCTCTGCCGCCGATTCTGGAAGAACAACTGCTCCAGCCCGCGTTCCAAAACCGAAACCACTAGATGAGCCTGCATTGGTGAAGCTCAAGGCCGAGAGGGACCCAGATAAGCTCTTCCTCCTATTCAAGGCCAATGCCCACAATCGACTTGTTATCGAGAACCGCTTTGCTTTCGAGGACACCGTCTCCCGTTTAGCCGGTGCCCGACGATTTGACTATATCGAGGAACTCCTCGAGCACCATAAGACTCTTCCTCAAGGGCGTCGGGAAGGCTTCATTGTCCGCATTATAATGCTATATGGAAAGGCTGGGATGACTAAGCATGCACTCCAGACATTCTACGATATGCATCTCTTTGGGTGCCGCAGGACTGTCAAGTCCTTCAACGCCGCACTCAAGGTTTTGACGCAAACCCACGATTTAGAAGCTATTCTGTTGTTCCTTGACGATGTTCCTTGGAAATTTGGCATTTCTCCAGACGTGTTTTCTCTTAATATTGTTATCAAGGCTTTCTGCGAAATGGGTATCCTTGATATGGCTTATTTGACCATGGTAGAGATGGAAAAAGTGGGAATAAGCCCTGATGTAGTTACATTTACTACACTCATATCTGCATTTTATAAGAATAATCGTCCTGAGATTGCCAATGGGTTATGGAATCTAATGATGCTTAACGGGTGTTTCCCGAATCTTGCTACCTTTAATGTTAGGATTCAGCATTTGGTTAACAAGAGACTAGCTTGGAAAGCTAATGCTTTGATGAGTATGATGCGGAACCTTGGGATAAACCCAGATGCAGTGACGTTCAATTTGGTTATCAAGGGCTTTTGCCGGGCTGGTTTTCTTGAAATGGCAAAACGGGCTTATTCTGCATTACATGGTAAAGGTTATAAAGCCAACTGTAGAATTAACCAGACCATGATTCATTATCTCTGTAAGGCAGGGGAGTTAAATGCTGCCTTCGGAATGTGTAAGGTCAGCATGGGCAGGAATTGGTTTCCTAGTTTTGATACCATCGTCAAGCTACTTGAAGGCCTTCAAAAGAATGGACAGTACAGGAATGCTGAGGTTATCATGGAGTTGGTTCGGAAAAGAACACCTCCTTATTCTGCAGATGAACTTAAGGCTTTTGGGGCCATAATGTCCCATGGTTGAAAATGGTGAAGGACAAAAAATGGGTGTCATTCATGGATATATTCAGCTCAAAGGGGTACCATAGTTTTGTTCTAATTATACTTGTCTATGGAATTCTGAAATTAATGGGATATAGACTCTTTACTCTTAATGGGTGAGTATTTGATCTTCCAAACTTGTGCAAACTCGTTATGTTGCCTCAGTAAAGAAACTTAAACTGAAATGGGAGTTCCAATAAGCACATCTCACATGAGCCCTATTGTAAGTTACTCCAAAGAATATCCTTTCCTTGCTTCATTTACTTTGATTCTTTCTATATCTCAAGAAGAAACTTTAGTGAGAGATAAGTATTAACTAAGAATCTTCTTTGGGTTTCAATCTTGATCTGATGGCAGGTCTGACTTGTCCTCTGTCTTCAAATTGGGCTGATCACGAACATAATGGTTAAGGAGAGGGGTTCCTTCTAGCTAATTGCCTATGAAACATTATCACTGGTAAGCCACTAAATATTCTTTTCATCACTGATCTGTTATTTTCTTGAAATTGCCTTACTTCTTACCTTTAAAATAGTTGTGCTAAGTTTAGATTTTCCCCAACATTGGATTCGGAAATTGGTACTCAAGAATTGAAATCTGTCCTCTTAAGTGGAGGGGAAATTTGAATTTGGAAATGACATAGAGATGTTTGTCTGTTTCTCTAGAATGGAGAAGAATTTGAGTTATGTTCCTTTTTGATGTTTTAATATCCTACAAAGAGAATTTTGATTTCCAAGGGATATACTTAACCATAAGCTACATTGCCATCTTTGTTAGAACCATGTAGTCATGCACTTGTGTAATTTGTGCATTTTATATGTTTGTTTTGTTGATGGTACAAAATTGATTTTAGTCTTACCTACAAGAGATTCTTTAGGGGTCTTGATAGCATGGGAAAATGATCCAAGAGGTTGTGAGGTAGAAATAGTGGGGAATTTTTCAGTGGCAATGAAATTCAAAGAGAAAAGGGATGGGTTTGAGTGGTGGTTAATGAATGTCTAGTGGAACTGTTTAGTTTAAGTAGAGTGTTAAGGACCGTGGTGTGTGGCAGGAGACTTTAACAGCATCTGGTTTTGTTCTGAGAATAATGTAGGAACATCTAGAATCTCCAAAAGCATGCAAAACTTTAATGATTTCATGCTGAGAGATATAAGATATCCCCCTTCTGAATGCACAGTTTGTGTGGTCCAATCAACAAACAAGAGTGGCATGTTGTAAACTGGATAGACCCCTTGTCACTTTGGAGCAGTGTTTTAAAAGGCGTGGGAAGTGTACGCCTGGAGGCACACCTCCAGGCGAGGCGCCCCCAAAGCACCCTGAGGCATATGCCAGAGGCGCTGACACCTCTAAGGCATATGCCTCAAGTGCAAGAAGCGTACACCTTGTACATTTTTTTCATGGGGCATGCTAGAGGCGTACGCCTCATGAGCCTCATGCACACCTCATGTAAAAAGACAAAAAAAAAGAAAAAAAGGAAAGGAAGGGAAAGGAAAAGAAAGGGAAGGGGAAGAAAAAGAAAGAAAAGAAAAGGAAAGGGAAGAGAGATAAAGGTTCAAGACCCGGTGGTTTACAATCACTTTCTACCATGAATGTTGGGAGATTATCAAAGATAATTCGAAGATGGTTTTTGATGAATTCCACCAAAGAGGAAAATTGGGAAGGAGGATGAACGCAACTTTCATTTCCTTAATTCCAAAATGTGCAGGAGCAGCCCCAACTAACTATTGTTGACCTATATGTCTTACCACTAGTTTGTACAAGATAGTGGCTAAGGTTTTATTGGTGAGACTAAAGAAGGTGTTTCATTTGGTGCTGTCAAGGAAGCCAAATCTTGGACCAAATTCTTATAGCAAATGAAGTAGTGGAGAATTTTAGGAAATCTAGGGAAAATGTTTTTGTGTTTAAATTGGAATTGGAAAAGCCTATGATCATGTAGAATATCTTTAGTGGGTGATGGATAAGATGGGTTTTGGGCATAGATGGATTAGTTAGATAATGGGTTTTTTCTAGATCCATCTAAACCTGATGGTTGAATTTGGACCCTTTCTCCCTCTGGCTCCTTCCTTGTGAGTTCTTCTTCAAGGCTTTAATTCAACCCACTATTCGTGTTTGGCATTCTTTTCCTATCAAGAAGTTTGGTTTAAGCCTATCCCCCCTAGGGTTGGAGCTTTTTGCTAGGAAGTCGTCCTTTAAAGAATTAATACCTGTGATCTGCTCCAAAGAGGCCTAATCGATGCTTATCCCCTCACTGGTGTGTTCTGTGTAAGGCCAATGATGAGATATGCTATCACTTATTAATTTCTTGTCCTTTTGTTTATGCATTTGGGAATGTTTTTTTCTCTTTGTTTGGATGTAGATGGATTCCCCCATCTGATGTGCAAAGCTTATTTAGCCCAACAACCCTCATCTAGCCAAGAAAAGGGGAAGGATAATGTGGAGATGTGCAAGGGCTGTTATAAGCCGGATTATATGGGAAGAAAGGAACTCAAAAATTTTCTTGGATAAGGAGAGAAGTAGAGAAGTCATAATTGAAACTATCTTGATTAGGGTGGCTCATTAGCTGAAGTCTTTGGAAATCTTTGATGAAATTTCAACGGCTGACATCCTTAGAAACTGGAAGGAAGTGGCTGATTCTACTACTACAAGGTTTTTTGCTAATCCTATTTGGTCTCCACCAAATAGTGGGTTTATAAAGCTCAACTTTGATGGAAGTAACTTTGGAAATCTGAGAATTTTATGCATAGGGGGTGTATTTAGGGATGAAGAGGGCAAAATAATTGCTTTATATTCAGACGCAATAGGTGTTGGAGATTCTCTATGGGCTAAGATTATGGCATCGATTGAAGGTGTACAAAGGGCACGGAACTTGAACATTAAAAAATTAATTATTGAAGGAGACTCCAAGTTGGTTCTGAGTTGGGTACAAAGTGATGAGACAAAACTGTAGAGCTACAATATTAAAAGAAAGAAATTCAAATGGCTGACATAAAATATGGAATTGAGACTCCAGTGGGTCAAAAGAATTGCCAATTCCTTAGCTAGGAAGCTGCCAATCAGTTTATTAACACCCTTGACAGAGGAAGCAGAAAAATTGGCATCTCTCACCCTTGACAGAGGAGGCAGAAAAATTGGTATCTCTCACCTCATGTGTATGACTATGTTCTCTGTCAAGGGGTGGGGAAAGCACCAATCATCTCCTGTTCTATTGTACTTGTGCTTGTCAGGTGTGAGGGCATTTTTTTCTCCTTGGCAGAATGCAATTGGGTGGCACCAACTGAAGCCAAAGTATTTGTTCAGCAGAAGGGGGTTCAAAAATTCTATGAAGAAACATTTTTCTGGCACTGTGTTCGAGGTGCTGTTTTATGGGGGCTATGGAATAAAAGAAACGCTAGAATCTTTGAGGAGAAGGCTAGGAATGCTGGAGATTCAATTGAGCACACTTTGATAAGAGTTGCTCATTGGGATTTAGTGTGTGAAGATTTCAAAGGTATCACCTTAAATGATTTGATAGGAGAGTGGGAAATTGTAGTTGACTATCAAGCCAGGCAACCTAAAGGTGGTGAGGTGGACTGCACCATCTGTGGGCAAAAGTAAATTTTATTTTGATGGATGCAGTCTTGAGAATCTGGGTGGTTTAGGCACTGGGGGAGATGTTAGTGATCACAATGGACAGATTCTTCTTAGTTTCTCTGGCCCTATGGTTGGGGAAACTCCTTAGGAGCTGAATTGCATGCATTATTACATGGTCTGAAATTGATGAACATGAAAGGAATGAGGGATAGAGGTCAAAGGAGATTGCCAGACTATAATTTGCTGGATGAGAACCTATGAAGTAATTCCTTGGGAGCTTCAGGAAATGGTGAGACAGGTACAATCAGTGGCCACTACTTTGAATAGCTCATTCAATTCAGTGCCAAGGACTGCCAATTCTCTAGCTGATTCTTTAGAAAGGGCTGGGGTTCTAAGAAATCTAAAATGGGGTTGTCCAGGGCCTGGGAGCACTCTGAACAGTTTGTAATTGGTTTCCTTCTTGTGTTGTGTTGTTTCTGTTGTTATTGGTTAGTACTCCTGTTTATGGAGCTTCTCTTGTACTTACTGGCTTGCTGTGTTTGTGAGTATCCAGGTGTGCTTTATTAATAAATTATTTCTGTTGCTTATGAAAAAAACCCCAAGTTATTTCATTTTCAATTATTTACTGTAGAATCTTGTTGTCTGTTCAAAGCTTTAAGCACATGGTACTTTCCAATGAAAGACAAACTTGTGATAAACTAAAGATTAGTTTTATCAAGACATCTAGGTGATAGTCCTTCTGGGTTCCAAACGAAGTCACCAATTACTTGGGATTCTTAGGGTTAAGTTTATGATAGATAAATTGATAAGGATATAGATCCATGGATATATTCACATATTTGCATATTTGATCAATAGATGATAGATAAAATGGGTTGGTTATATGAGAAGTACAGGTAATAAAATGGAGGGATGCATCCAAAGTCTTATGTGATGGGCGAATATCATTAGACGTATAACTTTTGGCTAGTTCTCTAGTTTTATATACCATTCAGCATGCATTTAATTGAAAAATAGCAATTCTCTTATAAGAACTTAAAATTTCCTGTCAAAATGTGCCAAATCATCATATACAAAAGATAAATATATTTTAAATATATTTATTTCAATGTTATCAAAAAAGATTATTAATATAATAAGTATTTAATAGAGCAATTTCATATCAATTAGCAATGAAGGCTATAATTTTATATGATACAAATTTAAGATAGAAAGTAAAAGATAAAAAAAACATGGAGCTGCTGTTTTATTTAATGTCAGACAGAGAGAGAGATATATTTCTATCCTTTCTTTTCTTTTCTCTTCTCGCAACCCTTTGATCATTTGAATTTCAATAGTAAACTTCGAAACAAAGTATAAATGATATACTTAGCATATAATATAAATTTAAGACAAATATTAACAGGAAAAAACAATATGAATGATATTATAATAAGGCACCTGCCTTGTCACTTTTGTTGCCTAGGTAGGTGCCTACTTGCCCAGAAGGGCATCTTGTTGTATAAGTCAAGACGTTTAGGCAAGGTACCCAGCGAAGGACACCTAGTGCCTAGGCAATGCCTTGACAACTATGATTGTAAGGTTAGTAATGTTGTATGGAGTAGATTGTTGGGTAGTCAAGAAATAAAATATCCAAAAATTGAGTGTGGCATAAATGAAAATGTTGGGATGGATGAGTAAGAAAAATAGAAAGGACAGATCAGAAATGAACTCATTTTTCTTGGTGGTGTCCTTTTGCTAGGGCAATATTGTTTTGTTTCCTATAGGGAGTTGTTTTTCAATGTAATGATCATCAAAGCATTTCTAGTATCATGAGTTGATTAATTTGTAATCTGATTTCAAGATCTGAAAATAAGCTTTTTTTTGTCTTGGATTGCAATCTGTTTTTACCATATTAAAAAATGATGTATTTGGTTTTTAAAAATGATGTGGTTTCTTACATTTAGTTTATTGCTGTATCCTGTGTGTAACAGACAGGATCGTTTTTTGGCCACTGAAAGTTCTAATTGTGTTGTTGAGGCTTCTGTTTTTGTGAATGTTGTTCAAATTAATTGTGATGGAGTTCTTAATTCTTGCCTTAGTTCTTATGGTTTTGTAGTGTATTCTAGCAATGGTTCTTTTTTGCAGCTGCAGGTGGTGGATGTTTAATTAATACAGAATGGTGATGCTTCGGGAACTGAGCTAAGAGCCATTCTGAATGCCCTTCTTTATGCAAAAGAGGAATGACGGAAGCTGCCTCTTATAAGATCTGATTTCTCTAATGTATGTTAATGCTCTTAACCAGAAGAGCTCAGCTGTCCCTTGGACTTGCTATCATTTTTGACAAAATTAAGGACTTTGTATTAATTGTGGTGCTGTTAAATTCTGTTATGTAATTAGGAAAGAGAATGCTCAGGCCCATAGAAGCTAGGTATGCCTAAACAAGTGTCAGGGAAGTACTAGGGGCATGGTTTTCAAAACCGGACCAGACAGGACGGTAAGACCGGAAAAACTGGGAACCTGTCAGGTGACCGGTTCCGGTTTACCCCAAAACCGGATTTTCTTCAATAACTGTTGATTTTGGTCAGAAAACTGCTGACCCGGGCGGTTAACCATTCGAACCGTTTGAACGGTTTTGACCGTTTTTTATTTTTTTTTTATTTTTTTGTCAGAATGGGCTGGCCGTTCAACCCAGGAACCGGACCCCTGACCGGTTCGTTCTGTGGGTTGGTTTTAAAAACCTTGACTAGGGCAATATTGTTTTGTTGTTAATATGTTTTATTTACCTACAAAAATCTCTCCTAAAGCTTGGCTTTTAACTACACACAAATCAACTCAAAAGGATGCTGTTTGCAACTCTTAAAAAAAAAGATTTATCTCAATATTTCTTTTCAATGTTTTTGCCTTGTAGGTTTAAACAACCAATAAACTGTTCGGATTCCCTTCATGTAGCTAGCATAGTAGAGGTATCATAGCAACAAATCTCTGATGACTCGTTTGAAAAAAAAAATCTCTGTAATAACTAATGACAGATTGTAATCTGCTTTCAATCCAAATCTGATATAGGTATGATGGATAAGTTTTGGTTCAAATTCAAATATTAATGGATTAAATTTGGGTCTAGGTATATCCGAAGTGATCATCTGATCCCTTTGCAACCCCATGTACAATGTTCTTGGCTTCAGGTTGGATTTTCCGAAGTTTGAACCCAAGAGTAATCAGATTAGATGGGGTTTCGATTTTTAGGTTCAAGCTAAACACGAGTATTACAACGCCAACCAAACTCTCCCAAAGCTTAGGTTTTGAAGTACTCCCGAGTTAACAACGGGCTATATGGACTAATCCTGTTGGGACTATTCTTTTGCATTCTTATTTTTTGTGCCATTGTTGTTGTTTTGGGGCCTCAAGAAACGTTTCATTTATCCATTTTAACATTTGATTTAACTTCTATCATTGATATTATGATTCTTGCATGCTGAAAAATAATTCTGTATTTCTTTCTAAATGTTGTTTGCAGCTCTTGAAAAAGATTTTTTTCTCATACCAACTCAATATTTCTTTTCCAAGTTTTGACTTGGAAGTTTAATCGACCAACATTTAAGCAACCAGTAAATTGTCCGGAGTTTTTGACATAACTAGAATAGATGACTCGTTGGAAAATTTTTTCTTTGTAAAAAGATTTTATTCCAGGGGACTCAATTGCATCTCGGTTAGTTTACACTGTTTATTGAAAAAGTAGGCTTAATTCAAGTGGATGCTTTTACATATGCCCAGTAAAGTAGTTATCATGGCTTAACTACAGCGGACAGGTTCTAAAATTTAGGGATGGCAATTCTATCTTGACAAGGCCAAGGCGGGTTTTTTACTTAAAAACAGATTTTGGAGCAGGGATGGGTTTTGAAATTTTACGACCTGTAGGGGTATGGATAGGATGCAGTATTAAGTTAAACTTGACCCTCTCAGGCCCGAGTTTAATAATATCTTGAATTTTATTTGAAGAACAGTTGATAGTTTATGTGATTTTTATATGTTTTAATCAAATAATTGAAATTTTGTATGTTTGTTCTTGTTATTTTAGTTATTTATTATTCATATAATAGGATATTAGATGTGGATTTTAGGCCTAAGGAGAGAGTTTTGCATTTTCATGTATGGAGGGTTTCTGCGGGTTTTAAGAAAATTTAAGGTTGAAAGGTCTGAGGTAGGTTTAGAATTTACAAAATTCTCCCGAACACTCAGGTTGCCATGCCAGTAAAATTGTTAAAACTAAATTAAGTAGAAAAAGAAATGTTAAAAGAAGAAAAAAGTTCAACTGGGAGGTTGATACAAATTTATTACAGAATAGCTATTGGCTCACTGGAATGCGGCAGTAATCCGGGTCAAAGAATTTGAATCATACAAGATTTTTTTTTCCTTGGCTCGCTAAAATGCGGCAGCAATCCAGCACCAACCACGAAGAATTCGAATCAGAAACGAAAGCTTATAACTTATAATTTGCTTGGGGGATGTCAATGAGGACAGGTTGGATCAGAGATGTACACAATCCTAATTCATCTCCAAACTATAAAAAATGATGTTTGGAACCAGCTGATGAGGAAACTGGGTAGGTGGTTGTGTTTATGTATAACCACTTTACTCTAAACCTTCAAGAATTTAGAACTGGCCTTGGGATTAATGAACCTAAACCAGAGAAACCAACTGTGAACTGTCTATCCTCCAATGAGAAAAGCATTTCCACTTCCAATCAACTAGGTATGCTAGAGCTAGAGGCATTATTCATGGATCACCAGTTATTGGAACCACTGTATCCAAGCAATTAAGCTCAAATAAAGTATAAGAAAAAAGAATCTCAGAACGGGGGAATGAAATAAAGTACAAGAGAAAGTCTTTTTTTCATCCAACAAATACAAGAAAGTCAAACAATTAACAAATAACAACTGAATTAATGATGAGCTCATTCCATCATACCCACATGAAGAGACTCTACATCCACTTGCCAGGTGGCAAAAAAAGTCTTATTTTAATTTATGAGAGATGTTCTCTCCACGTGGATCTTGTATTATACGTATGGCTTGCCTATCAGAGATAATCATATGGGTTATCAGTCGTGTCATACATTCACCTGGCCAGGGTGTTAATAGCTAGGTTGGCCTTATCAACCAACCATTTATGATCCCTCAGACCAGAGCCAGAGGAATGCTTGTCACCGTGTTCAACTTTTGTTTCCTGCACTAATTTTTCTTTCTTTACCCTTCTTTTCTTTTCTAATTCTATTACCAAAGATGAAGATTAGAATAGAAGACAAGACAATAAAAGGGAATGAATATACTGGTGGGGAATGGAGTAACATGGGGATGCTAACAAACAGGTGACTTGGCAAGTATTTGCTTTGGAAAACACCTAGAGAACTAGAAGGGCACCATACACATTTTCAAGCATTAAGATGATCTTCTTCCTAGAAAGAACCAAGTATTTGACAATATGGATATCATCCAAAACAGTCAAGCTTGTACATATAATTGGGAGCAGGAAATTATAATTTAATTCTAATTTTATTTTTTTCTTCATTATATGGTCATTTGTTCTCAGTACCTAAATGGATATATCTAGCTCACCTCAGTAATGGAAATTTTTTATTGTTCTATACTTCAAATTAAGTCCTAAGGTTGATCCTATAAACATATCCAAACTTCTTTCCTTGAGACTATTCCCTTTGACCAGCTGGAAGCTCTATCTGCTCAAACTAACACTACTTGGAGCCAATATGGGGTATGTACTGATTCATTTGGGCACAACTATAAAGAAGAGCCAAGCAAATAATTCTAGAGATGCACCAGAAGTCCATTATAGAAAAGACATGAATATATAAAATCCAGCTCCATCTGCTTGGAGGACTATTCGTTACAGTAAAAAATGAAATTAAATAGTAACATGCATGAAAGCACCAATTGTGACTCACCATCACCAGTTGAGATGATTCTGCCTTAATAATCACTTATAACCACAGCCAATCATAGAGTCCGAGGCATTGGCTGGAGCTGGTGAACTGTCCAGCTCCGCCAAATGGTGAGATCTCTTTGTAGTGGCTTTGGTCATATTCAATATTGCATCTAACATCATAGGATCAGTGTCTGGTCAATTAAGCTATGCATCTCCACCACCACAATCTTATGTCTATACCTTCTCTATCACCAGTCACCACCTCCGCGTTATTGTCACAAGTCACCTCCTCCACCACCTCCATATCTCCATCTCCTCCACCATATTACTACGCGCGCTGCCGCTGCGCTGGCTGTGCGTTAAGGCCGCGCTAGCGCTCAATCCATTGCTTGTTGCGCTGTAGTTTTGAATAACGGCTTGAGCACGTCAGCGCTCATGGAGTTGCTTGTTCCTCCCTTGAGCGCTGAYGCGCTCAAGCCGTTGCGCGTTAGCACAGCCAGCAAGATGCGGCTGAAAAACCGTATCGCGCTAGCACGCTCACGTAAAGTATCCCCCCAGGACCCCCACCTCTATCACTCATCTACTTCTTTTGCAGTCATTTTATATATTTTACTGTCAGCATTTTCAAATAGGAAATAGCTTCACGACGTAGCTTGAGAAAACAAACACCAACCAGCAGTGGAAAGAAAGAAGAGATATCAGAGATGAGGGGTCAGGGTTTAGTGGTTACTAGCTAGAGTAGCTATTTTATCTTCTGCTGGCCAATATTTATTTCATCTTTCTGCCATCTTGAATAGGTTTATTACGGCCATTATGCTCTTTCTTATTAAAGCATTAGCTTCTTTGAGCTTTGCATGGCCTTTGTATTGTCTAGAAATAAATAAAAGTATTAATGTTTCCAACCTCCATGCGTATGTGAATAGTAACAGTTTTTTTTTTTTTTATTTCCATACAAGTGAATAGTAACACAGTTGAAATTATAAGATTTCATCCTTCCAATTCATCGTGCACTCCTGAACATCGAAGTATTAATCTAACCCCCCTAAAAAAAAAAAAGAAAGAAAGAAAGAAAAAAACTCGATCCTAATTAAGCATTTGTTTTGTAAAATATTAAATAATATGTCATTAATGTATCATTTGTATTCATGATGTGTGCTTGAATGAGGCTGGTAGTGTAAATTTGGTGGGTGAAGTTTCTATCCAATCTCATGATCAGGTAGGTTTAGATCAATATATAGCCTCGAATGGAAGATTGGATTGAATCGTCTCTATCACAAGTTTTCCAGAAAGTGATTATAGATCAAGGTTTTTTTTTTTTTTTTTTGACTCATATATAGGATCATTAAGGAAGCTAGATATTATAATGCAATGTGGTGTGGTTCGGCTGTTCCTAACACAAATGAAACAAACAAGAAAAGCATACGGCTGAGCCACAAAATTAATTTGTTTATCTTTTCAGTCTGAAGTCTTTACATCTGAACCTTGGTTATCTTTAAGGGCTGTTTGTCTTATCTCGATGTCATGTCAATCTTCTCTTGAAAAATGCAGTGCCCAATTCGTCACTGTATCTAAACCATTAATTCGAACAATATATGCAAATTACAACTTTCATCATTTTTAACAAGTATTCGGCAAAGAGATTGTTTTAAATCCTCTCGCAAAGAATTGGTTTTCACCCCACCATCATCATCATTACAGCCCAGTTAAACGAACTTGATATTACCAGGCTATGAAGTGTATGATTTCCAAACAGAAATGAACGGAGCAAGAAGATAAGCAGATTGTGCTGAGTAAGGTTCAAAATACTGGTATTGCAAAGGATGTTGGTAAGGTAGGAAATGAATACATGTTATACTTTGTAAACATGGATAGTGGAAAGATTCGAAACACATTAAAACATTAAGAAGCTCTCATTGGATCCCACACACATTAAAAGCAGTGGATCTAGGTTTGAAACATTTCTCAGTTGTTTTTGGATATTAGATTAAATAAGTCTTATTAGATCCATGAGCAAAGTTCAAAATATCATTACGTATGGGCCCATATCGGCTGATATGTATCGTATTGGGGCCTTCTTGATATGCCCTTACAGGGAGTGTATTGGGTCAGGCCATGGTTCAGAGGGTAGTCGGAACTTAAACCGACCCCTCTAAACCGATTTTGAAAAAAATAAATAAAACATAAAAAAAGCACCTATACACCCTACCGGTGTATCAGCCTGTATTGATATTTAGAACCTTGCCCATGAGAATGTAGAAGATCCATAAACACAAAGTCTAATCACAAATCATCAACTATTATTAAAGGAACTATTCTATATGTTACTTTTACTTATATATATTAGTGAAAATTAAGTCAACTTTATCTTAAGTTCTTAATACGCTGGCTAATGGCTATATAATTTCTTAAAACTATAACATAAATTTAGTAGATTTTATAAACAATACTTTTATTTTCATAAATAATAAATATATTATTACTTATTTTAAACAATCTATTAATTAATAATTTATAAAATATATCATCTTAATTAAAAAATATATCAAATCTATTAGAATTTCCAAGATATATATATATATATATATATATTATGCAATTCATAAATTTTATTTACTAAATAATTATTCTGTTTCTATTATTTTTACTTTTGTAAACTATTAGAAATTCTTTTTTTTACATAAATTGTTGATGGATCAATGGATTTGATTGATCATTCTTTCCTACCATCAAAACCATTTGAATAAGTTATTCTTAGGATTTTTGGATTTTACCGATTTTTGGGGAAAAATCCATAGATCTGTTAATACAAGCAAAAACCACTGTTTTCAAAACCGGACCAGACCGGATGGTCGGACGGAAAAACCGGGAACCGTTCACCTGACCGGTTCCGTTTTCCTCCAAAACCGCTTTTTCCCTTAAAACTGTTGATTTTGGTCAGCAAACTACTGAACCGGTTGGTTAACCGTTCGAACGGTTTTGACCATTTTCCAATTTTTTTAAATTTTTTAATTTTTTTTGTCAGAACGAGCCGACCGTTCAGGTCAAACGGTCGGACCGTTTGAACCGGTAATGGACCCCTGACCGGTTCGGTCACCGATTTGTTTTTAAAAACCATGGCAAAAACACAGATCCAACAAAATATCAATATATTCTTGTATTTCAAACACCAAAACATGTACATCTATTGAATATTAAGGGATTAAATAAAATGAAAAAAAAAATCCTCCTTTCTAATTCCAATTGCATTGATTTTCTTCCTTTTCTATACAAGATCACAAGTGTTTTGGCAGATAGACTCCCCTACAAGCATCTAGGATGAAGATGAAAAGCTTGGACATGGAAGTGATTAAAAAAGTTAACCAGCAAATATAAATCATTCCGCTAGCATGTGTTTTGTATGGACCCATATTTGTCTGTATTGACATGCATACAAGTTGGATATACCACGATATGAACACTGACAGCGTGTGTGGAATGAATGGGCATTAATCCATTAAACCCATGTCACGTGTTGGCCTCTATGGAAATGGATATGATACGCCCAACATTGTTGATATTTTAAAACATAGTGCAGAGCCACCATTGAAATAGTAATGGGACTAGGTAAATCAAATGACTTGGTGTGAACTGCAAGTGATAATAAATCAATCGAGTCCCCAATCTGCATAATTTCAAAACCGTATGATGGCATACATCAATCATCATCTAAGACTTCTCCCTACCAAATGGGGTTAGATACATGAATCCTATTTCACTACTCCCTTTGTTCAGTGTCATACCTATCATTGGGTGATTAAATCATTTCTTATTACTTCCACCCAAGTTCTTTTTGTCTGCCCCTAACTATGCTAACCCCTTTAAATAACAATAGATCACTTTTTCTATCAGGTGTTGTAGATGGTTTTCTATGCATGTAACCAAACCATCTCAATACACCTCATTTTATCACCTATTGGAGTAACTAGCGGGTTCCTTCATATGACTTCATTTCTAACCCTATTCTTTCAAGTTTTACCACTTTCCATCTAAGCATTCTCATTTCCACCACTCAGTTTCTGGACATGTTAATATACAAAAACAAAAGACTATCAACCAATTTATTTTCAAGGATAGAAAATCATACAAAAACACTAATTGAATAAATTTGTTCAAATAAATAAATAAATAGAAAAAGAATTCAACAGACTAGTTCAACTGTAAAAGAACAAATCAGAAAACTTTTACATATTAGATAATCCAATAGTCTTCTCATTGGAATGACAACCGTCTAGCCAAATAGATTTTTCACTTGGTGATCTCAGGATTATCAAGTGGTGGATACAATCATAGAGATCATTTTGTGCAACTTGATCATTATATGATTTGTGGAAATCCTTCAAAGCCACGATAATCTGATGGCAGATCATTCTCTTAGAACATGGAAGATCTTTAACCTGTGTATATTATCTTTTATAAGCGACATCCATTCAGCAAACGAACTTTTTGGCTACCTCCGATGCCTACACACCCTGTCCACATTGAACATGAATAAAAGTTATATTCCAAAGGCAACCCTCTTGAAAATGCTTTCACTTGTTATAGTCCAAAGGCAACCCTCTGAACATAATCAGGACGTCTCTTGCTTGGCATTCGAAGCAGCCCCGTAATCTGGAGTTCTGTTACTGCCCTGCAGAACCGTGCTCTGAAGAAAACTAGGTTAAGGACAAGTTTCGAGTTCCACCTACCAGAATGTGCTGCTAAAAAAATAAATATTTTTCCACAAGACCATCTAGTTAAGAGCAGGAGCAATGGACCTTGAACTGCTTACATGTCCAAGAACATATATAGCTTCTCTTTCTCCTCAATTGCTTAATAAAATTACTAGTCTCTCCTCTGACTCAGTGTTTCTCACTTTCCACCTCTCTCTCTCTCTCTCCCCAAAATCCTTCTTTTGCCATTCCCTTTCTACCATTTAGACTCTGAATCCCACAAAAAATCCCATAAATAATACAATTACCATTAACTGCCCCAACTACAAAAATTTTCCTACTTGAGGTCATGTGAGTAATTGGCATGACCATCAAAAACATACATTTTAAATCTTGAGTTCTACCCATTGTATCAGTGGCATGAAAGTGTAAAGAGAAGAGAAAATAAAAGCTATACTTATTTTTTTTTCCGATCATTTAGCAAACTAGTGTCCTAAAGCTACTTAGATGCACTGAAACATAATATTCATGGTTAATATAATGGAACTGACTTTAATCCACCATAAGGCCACCAAATAATTAGAATTTGCAAGTTGTCACACAACATTTCATGAGCATACCAAACACCTATTATATATGCACCTGTTCAAATGAACAATATGAACGTGCAGTACTACTAACAAGCAGAAAATTGGCTGGAAACATATTAACAAAATGCCAACACCAAAAAAAAAAAAGAAAAAAACACAGGATACTGAATTGAAGCCTCACTAATGTCATGTGGTTCATCTCTATCTTTTCTTTTCTTACTTAGAGGTGATTGCTTCATCTTATGTTTTCCTTTGGTACTTGGCCCAAGAAGAATTTCTTTAAAAGATTGGAACCAGTCATGAAGGTTAATAAGATCACCATGCTCTTGAGCCAAAGTATACCTGAAATGACAGAGTCCATTCTAAGAATTGTATGAAGTATGACAAAAGGACCATCATGATCATCCTTGGAGAAATTTGTCATTGCATGGTCCGCTTCAATATAGTTTCTACAACAAGAACCAGAAAAAATTACATAATAGAGGTATCGTGCATTGATGGTAAGAGGACATTCCCACTCCTGCTGCAACAACTACATTGGAGAAAGTTGTGGGACTTCAGAAGATCAACTTGAACCGTTCTTCTTGGATCTCCAATCAGAGCCTACAGAAGTTTAGATGTTTGAAATGCAGAGCTATTAGGACTTGATAACCAAACTTTTCAGATACAGTAATAACTACAAAATTGTAGAGGTCAGGGCCATATTCCAAGTACATCACAGAACAACCATAAAATCTTTTTTTCTTTTTACTAGTGGGAAAACATACTTTTGTTTACAATATTTTATTTTATAGGTAACTGCAGAGAAATTTTATTAAAATGAGTCAAAGAGATTTATACGACAGTACAAGCATCCCAAAGAGAGATGCAAGCTGCCACCTCTCTGATGAAATAACAGAAAATACAAGATAATTACAACTCTGCCCAATATAACTGACCCCATCAATATCTTGCCTGGCTAAAGTATCAGCTAGATCACTAGCTGACCTTTGAAGATACCTTTGAAGATAATTACAACAGTAACCCTTCTATGTGGGGGAATAACCAAGGAAGATACACTTGTGGGCTTTTGGTTCAAATTTATGTCTCTGGACACTTCGGATATGTACATAACAATTGCAGCCAAAGACACGAAGAGGAATAGGAAAAAGATCCTTGTCTGAATGAAGAAGACTAAAGGGAGACTTAAACCCTAAAACCCTGGATGGCATACGGTTTATAAGGTAGGTAGTAGTGAGAACATCACCCTAAAATTTTGCAGGGACATGTGAGGCAAATAGAATACTTCTTGCAACTTCAACAATGTCTATTTTTTCTTTCAGCAACTCCATTCTGTTCTGGAGTCCTAACACAAGAGCTTTGATGATTAACCCCTAAATCAATGAGATAGCAGGACAGGTTTTTCTCAAAATTTGCATTGTCGGATCTGAAAATTTTAATTCTGGTATCAAACTGGTTTAGGACAAATTCATGGAATTGCCTCACAAGTCTGGGAACTTAATCACGGGACTTCATCAAAAATATCCAAGTAAACCAAGAAAAGTCATCAATGAACAAGATAAAATTTTTGTAGCCACCCATAGAAGGTAAGTGGTAAGGCCCCCACACATCAGAGTGCACAATATTAAAAGGAGAAGATCTTTTATGGATAACTATTTCTACCATGTTTTGATAGTTCACAAGACTCACAATGAAGACTAGACAAACTAATTCCTTTAAACAGTTCTGGGAATAAATGACTTAATGCAGAAAAAGAAAGATGACCCAAACGAAAATGACATAACATGACTTGACTGATGGACTCTGTAGATGTAGACCCAAAATCAGTTTTTCCAGGTTGTTCATGGCACTATCCAAGAGTATCCAGAAGATATATTCCATTCGCCTCACGGCCACTCCCAATCACCTTCTGAGACTCCAGATCCTAAAAAACACAATAGGAAGGGAAGAAGGTTACACAACAGTTTAATGACTTAGTTAGGCTACTTACAGATAACGAGTTTGTATTTAATCTGGGTACATGAAGAGCAAAAGGAAGAACCAAGGAGTCTGTAGCCTTGATGGTTCCCTTGCCGGAGATAGAGGCAAGAGAGCCATCCGCTAAGGTGATTTTGTCACGTCCAGGAAGTAAATCATATGAAATAAACAAAGTAGAAAGGCTGGTCATATGATCAAAAGCACTAGAATCAATAATCCAAGGGATCCTACGATTACCTGAAATGGTTGCATGATTGGTAGAAGCCCGTATACCTGAATGAGCAAATGCAGAAGAGGTTGAATTTCCTGGAGGGTTGGAAGAAGAGGTCACACCCTCTAGGTGACTGATCATCCTCCCAAACTTCTCATATTTTGCCTTCATAGCTGCAAACTGCTCACTAGCCGTCATCTCTTCAGTTTGGTATCTGTCACTATCTGGACTAGCAGCAACATTGGCACTCCCTGCCTTTATATTATCAGACTTCTTCTGAAACCGAAGTGGTAGGAGCTCAGGATGCAATTTCCAGCACTTGTCTTTAGTGTGTTTTGGCTTTTTACAGTACTCACAGATAATCYCTTTCTTCCCTGAGCTACTTGGAGTCCCTGCAACCCCCTTGGGTTTCACTCCCATATTAGCAAAGTGATCATTTAGACCAACCCCTTGGACCTAGACAAGTCTTCTGCTTTCTTCACTACTTACCAAGGCATATGCTTGAGACAGTGAGACACTATCCTTGGATAAAATATTTTTCTTTGTAATGTCGGACTCTGGATTTAGCCTTGTCAAGAACTCAGACACCCTGTTTCTCTCAACCAGTTTTCTGTAGGTCTCAGCATCATTAATGGTGTCCCAGGCTATAGCTTCTATCAAATCTATTTCTTGCCAATAAAGACTTCAGTGTTGAGAAGTATACAACTAATAGTTTCTCCCCCTGTCTCAAATTCTTCACATCACTTCTCAACTTGTAAACCCTGGCCACATTTAATTTTTGGGAATAGGTTTCAACAACACTATCC